TCTTCACTTCTCTCTTAATTGGGGGTATCCCTGACTGCCAGAGCCTCACAATAAGTGATACAATGAATTATTATTATGTTCTTAGCATTTTATAGCACTTTTCAAATTCAAAAGCACTTTGCATACACACTGAGACTCTACATTGGAGTTGCATTGCTGAAATTGCTACATGTGAATGTGCTGCACTACACTTGTGTTGAATGGCAGACTGCCATTAATATAATAATAATAATAATAATAATAATAATAATAACAACAACAACAACAACAACAACAATGGGGTTGTTGTAGGTTTTTTCGGGCTATATGGCCATGTTCTAGAGGCATTTTCTCCTGACGTTTCAACCTACATCTATGGCAAGCATCCTCAGAGGTAGTGAGATCTGTTGGAAATAGGAAAATGGGTTTATGTATCTGTGGAATGACCAGGGTGGGACAAAGTGATATTGAGTTTCACTTCAAAAGGACTCTTGTCTGCTGGAGCTAGGTGTGAATGTTTCAACTGATCACTTTGATTAGCATTTGATGGCCTGGCAGTGCCTGGGGGAATCTTTTGTTGAGAGGTGATTAGATGTCCTTGTTTGTTTGTTGTGCTGTTGTAATTTTATTGTTTTTTTTTAATACTGGTAGCCAGATTTTGTTCATTTTCATGGTTTCCTCCTTTCTGTTGAAATTGTCCACATTCTTGTGGATTTCAATGGCTTTCTGTGTAGTCTGACATGGAGGTTGTTGGAGTGATCCAGCATTTCTGTGTTCTCAAATAATATGCTGTGTCCAGGTTGGTTCATCAGGTGCTCTGCTATGGCTGACTTCTCTGGTTGAAGTCATGTGCAGTGCCTTTCATATTCCTTGATCCGTGTTTGGGCAATGCTGCTGCATTTGGTAGTCCCTATGTAGACATGTCCACAGCTGCATGGTATACAGCAGACTCCTGGATCCCTTGGAACTAACTAAAACAGCCATATAGCCTGGAAAAAAAACCTACAACAACCCAGTGATTCCGGTCATGAAAGCCTTCGACAATAATAATAATAATAATAATAATAATAATAATAATAATAACTACTTTATTTATACCCCACTACCATCTCCCTGGAACATTTATTATTTTTATTTATTTCGGGTACTTTTACCCCGCCCTTCTCAACCCCCGAGGGGGGACTCAGGGCGGCTTACAAAAAGGCACAATTCGATGCCTATACAAATTACACATAATGTACAAAACATAGTTAAAACAATTATCACAGTTAAACAATCAAAACAATCAGTATATAACACATCATATAAAACTATTCTCATGCTCAGCGTTTCGTCTTTCAGAGTTCCAGAGTTCCATTCCATTAGTCATTTCCTGACCATTGTCAAAGTCCTTTCTTTATCTCAACGTTTCGTCTTTCAGAGTTCCATAGTTCCATTCCATTAGTCATTTCCTGACCATTGTCAAAGTCCTTTCTTTAACTGCCCGATTGTCCGAATGCCTGGTCCCAAATCCATGTTTTCAGTTTTTTCCTAAAGGAAAGGAGTGATGTCACTGATCTAATTTCCCCAGGGAGTGAATTCCATAGGTGGGGGGCCACCACCGAGAAGGCCCTGCTCCTCGTCCCCGCCAACCTCACTTCTGATAGAGGCGGGGTCGAGAGCAGGGCCTCCCCAGAATACTCCAGGGTGGGACGTAGAGGGAGATCCGTTCGGACAGATACACTGGGCCAGAACCGTATAGGGTTTTGTAGGTCAAAACCAGCACTTTGAATTGTGCTCGGAACTAGATCGGCAGCCAGTGGAGCTGACACAACAGGGGGGTGGTATGCTCCCTGTAGGACGCTCCGGTGAGCATTCTGGCTGCCTCCTGTTGGACTAGTTGGAGTTTCCTAACAGTCTTCAAAGGCAACCCCACGTAGAGTGTTGCAGTAATCTATTCGGGATGTAACAAGAGCGTGGACCACTGTGGCCAGATCCGACTTCCCAAGGTACGGGCACAGCTGGCGCACAAGTTTTAATTGTGCAAAAGCTCTCCCGGCCACCGCCGAGACCTGGGGTTCCAGGCTCAGCGATGAGTCCAGGATCACTCCCAAGCTGCGAACCTGCGTCTTCAGGGGGAGTGTAACCCCATCTAACTCAGGCTGTAACCCTATGCCCTGTTTGGTCTTACGACTGACCCGTAGGACCTCTGTCTTGTCTGGATTCAGTTTCAATTTGTTAGCTCTCATCCAGTCCGACACAGCAGCCAAGCACCAATTCAAGGCTTACAAAGGACATGCCCAAGATTACAATTCAAACGCACATGTAAAACACTTTAACCAATTAAAACATTGGATAAAACAAATAACAACACAACTGAAACCAATATAAAAACAATACGGCTGAAAGAAACATAGCTGAGGTAGAGATTCAATGAGTGCAATACATTTTTACAGGAGCGCAGGAAATGCAACAATACAGTAAATGCACAACCCAGTGTCCATTCATACACACTGATAGGAATGAGGAACTATTAGACGCAAAAAGTAACCCTCACTTGGGGGTGATTCCACAAAAAATATAGCAGAGTGCCAGAAGTTCATAACCAGCAGAAGCTTACGTGTAGAGAGCAAGGATTAGTTTCCATTCAAGAGGTTGGAACAAGATTGCAGGGAGCCACAACTTCATATGTTCTAAAAGTAAGATGTTTATTAAACTCAAAAGAAATCCATTCTGGATAGAAATGGTTCTTGGAACTATCTAGCTTCACTGAGCTATCTTCTAAGAAAATAAAAAGGGAGAAAATAACAAAGTGGGATGCATCTACATCTTGCCTGGAGAATGGCAAGATGTGTCCTCACTCAAGGAGAACAAAGGGAAGAGAAGGCCAAAATGGAGACAGGTCGCATGGCCAGCCCAGGGCTATAAAAACAAACAAACAAACAAAAAACTCTTTGAAAGAGGAAGTTACCTCATCACTCAAAGATATCACATTGCTAAGTATTCAAAAGGGGAGGAGATAGTGGCATGTAGGAGGAGTAAGACAACACTTCTTCTAAGCCCCTCCTTGAGACAAGCATGCACAGGGAATTTAGGGAAGGAATCCCTCATTCTAATCTATCTAGGCTAACTACTCATTGAGGACTGGAGACTTGTGCAGCCAGGGATGACACCCAACACATACGAGGGTTGAATGAAAAGCAATGCCTCCACCTTCATTCTGTTCAGATTCTGGATATTTCTTTCAACAATCTTTGATTCAAGAGCATAGTTTTTTTTAAAAAAAAATCCTGGTGCTATTGGAGAAATAAATTCATCTCCAGTATATGATATGGTCAGTGGCAGATGCTTCCAAGTGCTAGTTCTTGATGCTAGACCTGCTGCTGAGGATTACCTGGGAAGGAATCCCACTGGAGCATTGCAGCACACCCAAATACCTGGGAGTTACTCTGGACCGTGCTCTGACCTACAAGAAGCACTGCCTGAACATCAAGCAAAAAGTGGGTGCTAGAAACAATATCATACGAAAGCTGACTGGCACAACCTGGGGATCACAAACAGACACAGTGAAGACGCCCTTGCGCTGTGCTACTCTGCTGCTGAGTATGCATGCCCAGTGTGGAACACATCTCACCACGCTAAAACAGTGGATGTGGCTCTTAATGAGACATGCCACATTATCACGGGGTGTCTGTGCCCTACACCACTGGAGAAATTACAGTTTAGCTGGTATTGCACCACCTGACATCCACCAAGAAGTAGCAGCCAAAAGTGAAAGGACCAAGGCAGAGACATTTCCAGCTCATCCCCTGTTTGGGTATCAGCCAGCACGTCAACGACTTAAATCAAGAAATAGTTTTCTAAGATCTACAGAGACACTCGCTGGAACACTCAGCAAGTGAGAGTCCAAAAGTGGCAGGCTCAAACCCAGAACCTCAACCAATGGCTGATACCAAATGAGAGACTCCCCCCTGGGCACACAGAAGACTGGGCAACTTGGAAGGTGCTGAACGGACTGCCTCTGGCACCACGAGATGCAGAACCAACCTTAAGAAATGGGGCTACAAAGTGGAATCCACGACATGCGAGTGTGGAGAAGAGCAAACCACAGACCACCAACTGTAATGCAACCTGAGCCGTGTTACATGCACAATGGAAGACCTCCTTGCGGCAACACCAGAGGCACTCCAAGTGGCCAGATACTGGTCAAAGGACATTTAATCAACTACCAAGCTTGCAAACTTTGTGTTTTGTTTGTTTGTTATGTTAAAAATGCAATACAACTGTTTGGCTTGCTCCTGACACGAAAAATAAATACTGAACATGTCTTTGTTCCAGATAGTTCCTAATATGCAAACAAAAGGATCTGTCTAGGGTCCCATATTGGAAGATAGGGATATTGATGTTATATATCATGCCTGTAGCAACTTGTGATGGGATGGTCAAAAAAGTCTCTAGGAGAACTATCGGATGTTCTTAGATACTTCAATAAAACAGTGCTTATTTTGTGGTCTTTTCAAATAAATGTAGAATATTGTATACGTTTGCTTCCTGCTTCAGTGTAACTGAACCCTTGTTGTGGACTTTAAAAGACTGCAGCTTAAATCTTGTAACTCAACTGTGTCACATCTGTAAACAACACTTTTCAATCGGCTGCCTAGACAGGATGTGCAAGAAGAAAGAACATCCAGACATAAAAGATGTGTTTTAATGCCATCTTTCAAAGAACAACAGTAGCTAATTGCTGTGTTTTCTAGTGGGAAAAATCTGTTTAATATGCAGATCTCAAAATGATGAATTTAAATGCAAGCTGCCAATGCTGAAGTAATTTAAATCACAAGGGGGAGGGGAAAGAGGAGGTTAAGCTCTTGTTTGAGGAACACTTTAAGTCGCTTCCAAAAACTGCCAAAGAATCACTGGTTCTATGCCAAGTTCCAGTTACTTCAGTTATTTTTAATAGTATGTTTTCATGAGTTTGTTGATGCAAGATCTGTTCTCTTTATTTAGTTTTTAAAGTAATAAGAATAATATTATCAACTTACTTGGTGTTGACTGGCCTTTGCCAATTGCTCGTTGGCAGAGTCGACGTTAGAAGATGCAGTCTCGATATTGGCTTCAATGCTATCTGTAAATTAAGATAATAGAAGGTAATTACATGGCACAGCGTGACAAGCAAATCCCACAATTTAATTGATTTAATTAATTAAAATTTAATTTATACATTCTCCAACTTGCAAACAGAGTGACTACTACCCGAATATAGAACCATCAAACAATTATGAAGGCAAATGAAAGAACAGTAAAACTAAAGAGTGTGGATCCTGTTGGTAACATGTATACAATTTGGTATTGTGCTCATGTACTTCGGAGCACAATACCAAATTTGGTATTGTGCTCATGTGGAGCCCCCGGTGGCACAGTGGCTGAATTCAACTTCAATGAATCACAAACTCTGCTCTCCTCTTCAGCAGTAGAACTGCAGCTAGATTTTGCCCATCCCTCTGGCAACACTTGGGAGGCTCGAAATTGTGTTTGTATTATGTTTTTTTTTCATCACATCAAAGGCTTGTCTTGTTGTTCATTCGTTCAGTCGTCTCCGACTCTTCGTGACCTCATGGACCAGCCCACGCCAGAGCTCCCTGTTGGCCGTCACCACCCCCAGCTCCTTCAAGGTCAGTCCAGTCACTTCAAGGATGCCATCATTCAAGGCTTGTCTACATGGGCATTAAAAGCAAGAGTCACCAGGAGTTGACTCCTGGCTGTCCCCATGACACCTCTCCACTTCACATGTTCAATTGGGTTCATTCATCTTAACCCCACATTAGGAAAACTTTGCTTGAAACTTTAGAGGAGAAGTTCCTAAACTTATTTGGTCAACCAGTGTAGACAGAAGGATCATGACCAATTTGGACTGGTTTGCTGTCCACATGGGGCACCATCACCATCTCCTTTCCTCTACACCAGTGGTTCTCAACCTGTGGGTCCCCAGGTGTTTTAGCCTACAACTCCCAGAAATCCAAGCCAGTTTACCAGCTGTTAGGATTTCTGGGAGTTGAAGGCCAAAACATCTGGGGACCCACAGGTTAAGAAACACTGCTGTACACTCATCGGTACAAAGGAAGGGGATGGATCGTGCTCGTGTTTCCACCACTGATGCTTTGAGCTGGATGTAGAGCTCGATGCAAACTCCTGGTCATAGCAGGCAACCCATATTGACACCAGGAGAGGCATCTCTGTGACCAGGAAAAAGTAGGGAACTGTTGCAGTCCAGCCACCTACGTGACTCCTTTTCACCCAAAATGAAGAGCTAATTAGCTCAGCCAACAAGAAGCAATCAACCAATTAAAAGTTTATTAAAGAAAAGAGTGTTCTATGGAGAAAAAACTAGTTCAAAAATACATTCCAAGGTAAAAAGTACAGAAGTATTTCCAAGGTAGAATAAAAAACTCAAAAGTGAAAGTACACCTAAAATATAAGCTCCAAACGTTATTCCAAAATATGTGTTACAGTCTGAATACTTTTGAGGCAGCAATAAACAAAGTTCTGCATTAAAAGTAAAAACAAAATCCACAAAACTTAGACCAAGAACTGTATCCAAACAAGATTCCCCAATCCTAAAGAGGAAAATATGACATGAAAGCAAGAGCTGAATCTGATCACGGAATGCATGTAAAATGTGACTTTCTTCTGAAAATGCAAAGTTGCTCTCACACAGAGAAATCCAAGGACTTAGCTTAAGGAACCAAATTGGTTCCCATGGAGACACTATTTACCTAACACCTGGAATCCCTCTGTTTATCTTCCAAACACTGAGATGACCTTAACAGCCTCTGCTTAGCACTATCTTGCTGTAACTGAAGACACTGGGTTATGGGCAACCATTCAGAATCTTCCACCTCTCAAGGTCAGGGAGAGCCTCTTGAAGCAGAGCCCCTAACTGCATTTCATCGGTAACACGCTCACTAAAAGCTGGTCTGTAAAGCCATTCCCATCATCTAGGGAATAACTACTTTTTTCCTTAGGTACCACAGAAGTAGTAGGCTCAAATTCAGGCTCTAGTTCAGGAGCACAAGGCCCCACCAAAGGGTTCCTTCCTCCTCCTCAGACCACACCTCAACAGGAACTGATCCCCCCACATTCTTACTGGTCAGGAGTATCCCCATGGGATGTCCATGACGGCCAGGTTGTTGGAGTTCAGCCTGTGATTGTCTTTCAGGATCAGGGTGCTTTGGATGTGGGAAGTGATGCCAATGAATTTCAAGATGGCAATAGTTTGGTCAATGATACTGATGCAGAGAAGGACCAGGAGACTCCTGTGCAAAGTGTAGTTTCCCATGAGAATGTCCCTGAAAGATGTGGGGATGATAGTGTACTCCCTGAATTGCTACTAGAGGGTTCCCAGGATTTGGGGCTTGAAAACAACTGGGCACCTGGCCCAGCTGCGAGACTTAATGAGCAAATAGATACACGAGAGGAAATTAGTCAAAACAGACAGGCCGAGTAGTGCCTTCGGCGTTCTGCCAGGCTCTGACAGAAAAAGATAACAGGATCTCAAGCAAAACGAAACCAATTCCTGAGTGCGTGGAATAGCTTAACGCGAGGATAAAAGTTCCAAGTATGGGAAATATAGTCAGATGAAGCATCATTGGAATCAAGTGTAGTTCTCGTCCTTTGTTTCATGGAAGCTTTGCTTGGAAGATTCTTGTCTAAGTATTTCTTGTTCATGATTTGGACTCTTGGAATGTCTGAATGCCTACTCCTGTTTCCTGTTTTTCTGAATTATATTAGAGAAGTGTGGACTTTGTTTTTATGAACTTTACCCTGGATTATTTTTGCTCCTGCTTATCTTCTTACTTAATTGGATTTACCTATTTCTTTAAAGTGCTTTTTACTTGCTATTTTTTAATTATCTTCAATAAAATGATTGTTTTCCAATAAACGGTGTGGTGTTTACAGTCAGAGGGCTTTTCCTGTCCTGGAGTGCAACACAGGTGTTGTTCACATAGAACTCTGTGGCTGGCTGAGAATGGCAACAGTGACATGAACAGTGAGGTGATCATTCAGAGGGTTGATGTGATCTCAGCCCAGATGGACTATTTAGACTCCAGTACATGACTGCAATGCATTCAGAAAGGTGCATGTAGCTGGCTCCAGGTTCACTCTAGAACATTTACGTTCTGGACTGGACACAGATTTACTAGCAAGTGAAGAGATGACCTTACATCTAAGTTTGAGGGGCTTCTGAAACTACATTTAAGGGCTTCACACCAACCTTTAATTGATTTCTCAAAACAAACAGATGTTTCCTCTTTCTTCCATACTGAGCACCCAACTATGTTGCTGTTGTTCATTCGTTCAGTCGTCTCCGACTCTTCATGACCTCATGGACCAGCCCACGCCAGAGCTCCCTGTCGGCCGTCACCACCCCCAGCTCCTTCAAGGTCAGTCCAGTCACTTCAAGGATGCCATCCATCCATCTTGCCCTTGGTCGGCCCCTCTTCATTTTGCCTTCCACTTTCCCCAGCATAATTGTCTTCTCTAGGCTTTGCTGTCTCCTCATGATGTGGCCAAAGTACTTCAACTTTGTCTCTAGTATCCTTCCCTCCATTGAGCAGCCGGGCTTTATTTCCTGGAGGATGGACTGGTTGGATCTTCTCGCAGTCCAAGGCACTCTCAGAACTTTCCTCCAACACCACAGCTCAAAAGCATTGATCTTCCTTCGCTCAGCCTTCCCTAAGGTCCAGCTCTCACATCCGTAGGTTACTACAGGGAATACCATGGCTTTGACTAGGCGGATCTTTGTTGCCAGTCTGATGTCTCTACTCTTTACTATTTTCTCGAGACTGGACATTGCTCTCCTCCCAATGTCCAGTCTCGATAAAATAGTGAAGAGTAGAGACATCAGACTGGCAACCAAGATCCATTGCCTAGTCAAAGCCATGGGAGTATTCCCTGTAGTCACCTACGGATGTGAGAGCTGGACCTTAGGGAAGGCTGAGCGAAGGAAGATAGATGCTTTTGAGCTGTGGTGTTGGAGGAAAGTTCTGAGAGTGCCTTGGACTGCGAGAAGATCCAACCAGTCCAGCCTCCAGGAAATAAAGCCCGACTGCTCACTGGAGGGAAGGATACTAGAGACAAAGTTGAAGTACTTTGGTCACATCATGAGGAGACAGCAAAGCCTAGAGAAGACAATGATGCTCTCTACTCTTTACTATTTTATCGAGACTGGACATTGCTCTCCTCCCAAGAAGTAAGCGTCTTCTGATTTCCTGGCCACAGTCTGCATCCAACTCTAGCTTCCTGTATTTTGCTAGCACAAATACCAAACACTACATTCATAGTGAACAACAATGAACAACAATGAGAGTTTCTTGCAAAGCGCCTTTAACATCAACACATTTGCTTTCTAAAACCATGTTTCAAGTTCTCGGCATACTAAGAGGATCCTAGCACTGTTATTCTGAGAATAGGCTTGAGTGCCGTCATTGTTATGTTTCTGTATGTGCTGTTTTGGAAATTACAATGGTATTTCTTATTGTATTCCTGTCTTTTATAATTATCACATTTTCCCAGGCAAGGTTGGAGAGAGCAATGCGCTTATAGAGAATTGCTTTATGCTTCAATTTTTGTAGCAATGATTTCCATTATATCTTTGACATGAATCAAAAGCTGTGGCACTGAAGTCAGGTTTTTGAGAGCAGAAGCAGGTGGGTTGACAAGGTCCCCCATGACCTTCTGGCAAGGAAACTAGTCCAATGTGGGCTAGGCAAAACTACGGTGAGGTGGATCTGTAATTGGTTAAATGGACAAACCCAGAGGGTGATTCTCACCAATGCTTCCTCTTCATCCTGGAAAGAAGTGACGAGCGGAGTGCCGCAGGGTTCCGTCCTGGGCCCGGTCCTGTTCAACATCTTTATTAATGACTAAGATGAAGGGTTAGAAGGCAGGATCATCAAGTTTGCAGATGACACCAAATTGGGAGGGAGAGCCAATACTCCAGAGGACAGAAGCAGGATTCAAAACAATCTTGACATATTGGAGAGACGGGCCAAAACTAACAAAATGAAGTCCAAGAGGGACAAATTCAAGATACTCCACTTAGGCAGAAAAAATGAAAAGCAAAGA